AGTAACGGGATAAAAATTCAAGAGGTTAAAATAAATAAATCCTAATGAAAGAAAAAACATAAAAATGGTTGTCATATCCTAATAATGACCTTTACCAATCTCGAAAAATATTTGTATTCCAAAAAGTGCTTAAAATAACGACGACAACTTTCAATGTCTTTTAACTTCTCTTGAAAATACGGGATTCGACTTAATCATGGCTACCCTTTAAAAGTTAATATAGTGAGCGTTTCTACCGGTTTAAAAAGAATTATAAATCATATCTTAAAATAACCTTCCGATGTAAAGACTCTGACATTTGAATATTGGCGGCAAAATAGAATTGCAGAGCGAAACTAGTTTCTAGATCGATTTAAAGTAAAGTAAAGTAAAGAAACATTCAAATGGATTGGTTTGCTCGAATGCTCAATGCAGAATAACCGAAACGTAGTTACTGCTAGGGCATGAAATTAACTCTCTTCTTGTAGGATCCACTTTGCTACTTAATATTTCAAAGTGGAAGCCAATTCCATTAAGTCCATTAAGTCCAAGTCCTGCATCCCCAGAAGAAAAAACATATAAACGAAACAAAACAAGATTAAGAAGAAACAGAACATACAAAGAGAAAACGGTCGGTTTACTAGATGTTATTTTAGAGCTGAGATTCTCCAAATTTACAAGTTTTGAACCCAAATGATTCTAGCAGGTAATCAAAAGTAAACAAAGAGGACTCCTACATATATATCTACTTGGAGAACTAAGAACACGTTCTAAAACCTTCGGGGATATTCCAAAGTTATTAGAAGTCGGCTAAAATGGCAAATTGACTGTTGCATTTTTGACGAAATAGTAATTTTTCGGCTGATACTTTTATCAGAGTGTATTTTTTTGCCAAAAAAAATTGCCATTCGGTCAGGAAAATCCTTTACCTTATTATTTTAGACGGAAACCTGCTATTTGAACAAATTTTAAGCCTCTCGAAAATGGCTCGGTCACGTTTAAATCATTTTTGTACTTGATTGGTTTGTGAGATTATTTCGGATTGAGGCAAGTGAAAGCTTCGGAAAAAGTTTAGCAGGAGCTATTTACAAAGAAGAAAAATGGAGAAACGGAGACCATAAAAGCTATTGACTACTTGACAATGCCTAAACTACAAGAAATCTTCACAACAGTTGCCATCGTGTGTCTTCGCTACGAGAGACTCGCTGTTTTGCAAAATGTTTTCGCTATTATTCTTC